TGGAGTTGTGTGTTCAGAACAGTCTTCCAGCTGTTACACGGTTTTCCCAGGAAGACCGAACCAGTTCCCGGGTGTAATGCCGCCTCCGACCAGCAGGGGTCTCTCTCTCTCCTCTCTGAACACGTGTAACGGTGTAACTGCAGGTGTGAGCCTCGTTGTTTTGAACACAGCAGACATCCACAAGCACGAGTAGTCTGGTTTACCGTGAACACGTTATTTATAGGACAAACCCAGCCGTGTTGGTGTAGCAGGCACGAGGAGGCAAAGATGGACGCTAACGTTGGCCGAGCACGTGGACTTTAAAAGTGAAGCCCAGTGCAGCGGTGACTCTTGAAGACACTGAAAGCTGCTCTGGGTGGAGCTTGGATCCCAGAACATTAAAAGTGACTCAAAGCTTAAATCTGCTTTGTGCTGCAGTCTCAGCAGCGTCCAAGTTTGCTCTCAGCTTTAGGCAGCGATGACAGAATTTATTCATCTCAACATCAACAGCAAACAATGAGATTATTCTGCATGTCAGCACAGAAATCCACCGTTGTTGCGGCTTAGAGACGTGGATGAGGCCGCTGGCACTCTTCCATGACAGGGTCGAAACCCCCGAAGGTCACCAGTAAACTCAGAACTGACTAAATACAAACAATGACTGAAAATCAGCTCGCGAGAGTCAGACCTTCCTTCAGATGTGATTCAACACCTGAGGGAGCTGACAGCAGCAGTAGTCCGTGTGCTTGGAGGGTGAAGGGTAGTCACAGGGCTGTTTGGTACCAGGGTGTGTACCACACTGAACATGGACCAGAGAGCTGAAGACACGCTGGGCTCAGGTTGTAAAAAGACAATTATTGATCTCCATGTTAACACTAAGGCTTGAAGAATGTTAAGGTGCCCCAGTGTTAGATCCCTCCAGCCACCTCCGCTTCTAAGTGGACTTGATGGAAGACGACTGAGGAGGACACCAGTGTTGAAATCACATCATGAAACGTTCACATGCACAGATCTAGCATCTCTCCTTCAGCCTTATCGCCGCCTCTCCCGACTCCAACCAGGCCCATCATCCTAGATAGCTTTGCTCCTGTTTCTTTGCCTGAGTTAACCAAACTAGTCAACTCTATGAAGACCTCCGCATGCCCCCTCCACATCTTACTCATCTTTGTTTAAAAGTGCTTTTCAGTCCATCGGTCCCAGCGTGCTCTCTATAATTAATGCTTCTCTGGTTTCTGATCAGGTCCCTGCTTACTTTAAGAACGCTGTAATCTACCCACTTCTTAAAAAACCGAGTCTCGACCCCTCTCTCCATAGCAGCTTCAGACCCATCTCTAAACTTCCGTTCATCTCCAAGATCTTGGAAAAGGTTGTGGCTAAACAACTCACAGCTGCTCTTGATGAACATAACATCTATGATTGCTTCCAGTCAGGTTCTCGTAGAGCTCATTCTACTGAAACAGCTCTTCTTATGGTCTCTAATGACCTTCTGACCCACAGTGATGCAGGGGACTGTTCAGTTCTGGTCCTGCTGGACCTGACTGCAGCCTTTGACACTGTTGACCATCACCTGCTACTGGAGAGGCTGAGAGACTGGGTAGGCTTATCAGGAACTGCTCTGGAGTGGTTCTCCTCTTATCTTTCTGAGTGCTCCTTTTCTGTGGCCGTCTCCAAGTTTAGGTCCTCCACCACCTCCCTTACCCATGGTGTCCCACAAGGTTCTGTGCTGGGGCCTCTGCTCTTCCTCCTCTATCTGCTCCCTCTTCAGCACATCCTGAGCTCCTTCAAAGGAATCTCCTACCATCTTTATGCAGCTTCCTAATAGCTCGGTTCCATCGCCAGGTCTGGTCTGGTTATTTTTGGACCGGTGTGTTCTGGTGTGGGTCTGGAACTTTCACGTGAGCGTTTCGGCAGTTTGGGCCGTCGCCTCGGTGGGCGGGGTTAAACAAACCATCACGCCTGCTGCAGTAACTGGTCTGCAGAGCTAAAGACAAAAACAAAAGGTTTACCACAGCATCCTCATGTGGCTCCAGAGTACAGTCGCTAAGCCCAGAGGCCTGCCTCTTGCCTCGGTTATAAATAGTCTCCAGCGCATCATAGCAACTCCGTATTTCTCCCATCCAAGAAAAAAGCAACAGTCTTTGGGCAGCAGGTGGGGTACACCCTGGACAGGTCGCCAGTCCATCGTAGGACAACCATGAACAGCATCAGCTGTTTTATGTCCACATGCTTCTTCCATAGCTTGGAGAGGGAGCATGTGCGTGTGGATCTTGGCCATACACTTTCCATCTCCATACAGAAAAACTGTAACTTTCCAGACCTCTCAGAGTGGCACACCGACCAGGGTGTGCTCGCTCCCTGCAGGGCAGCTCAGGATGCATCTGGAGGCAACGCAGGCTTGCAACAGAACATGCAAAGACCTCCATCTTTGGAGAAATGCCAAAGAATGTGAGTCATCTTGGCCTTCGTTTCCTTGAGCAACACAAAGGTAATATTGTCCCGTGTTGGCTTGTTAGAGCGCCACACCCAGCGAAAAACACCTCAGGAGGCCTATCGTGTTTCAGAAATATGTCCTTCTGACACAACAAATATAATTAAAGCCGCGTTTATTATTATGTGCCTGCAGGAGACTTCCAACTCAGTCTCGACTTGGAGTTTTGGCCTTGTGAAAAGCTGGGCGAGTCACAGCAAATGTGTCAGTTATTAGTAGTTTTCACCTGAACCAGGAGGAAACCTCCCACCCAGGTGCAGTAAACAACCACAGAGGCGGTGGTCAGGTCTGGATTCTCTAAGCTAATAAAATGCTGATTGCTCAGATATGATCAGAATCTGAACTATGCAGGCTTCATTCACGCTGCACACTCAGATAGCTCAGACACGCCTCGTTCTCTCACCGCACCCATCATTGTCAATCACTCAGCGCACCTTTGAACAAACTTTGCAGTGAGGGTTCGGCTGCACCTCACAAGGCCAGCAGCAGAAAGCAACAAGATCATTGAAAACATTTGCAGTGAGATTAAGTTCTTGTTCCATGATCAGCATGCAGATTATAGAAAATCTCTCAGATTAACGAGAAACACGTAGCTAAAGCTGCAGAAGGTCTTCTGGTCTCAGACTCAAATCTGCATTTACTGTATTTGTGTGCATCTGATATTTTCTCATTCAAGCAAACATATATGACCCTAACAGATTTAAGCTCTTGAGCAACAATGTGGACGGCATTCATTTTTAAATAAAAGTACATTTTTACTGAAAAACAAAAGCAAACGCCAAACCTGAGAACTTTTTCCACCGTGTCTTGACCAGGCTTGGGTTTGCATGGTTTTATGGTTGATGTAACCTGGCATGGATATCTATGTAGTCTGCTCATGACCCAGAGAGCCCAGTCGCAGGACCAGAGTCCACGGTGGTCTACGACTGGACAGCAGCAGAGCAACAAATAGAGGAATCAGTCGACAGGGCAGCCCGCCGTTGAAGAAGTGAGAGGAGAGGTACCTCTAAAAGTCGCCCGAGTGCCAGTCCGGAGCCCACACCATCTTTGTAGTTTTTCTCTGTTGCAGCTCTGCCACAATGGTGCAAATCCCGCCCAACGTCTCTACAAACACGGAGCGTTGTGATTGGCCTGGCTTGAGCTTAGCCAGGCCAAAGGTAGACCCACGGAGACTACGGAGGTTGGTTTTCTGTTGCTGCTGCTGCGGGTTTCTAAGCTAACCTTGATGCAAAACTACTTCCCAATGGTAAACACATTGCACATTTGTAGAGCACTTTTAAAAAGGTATTTATTTCTTTTAAAAAGAGGAGGAACAATGCACATGTAAACATGGTAGCCTTCTGCTAATTTCCATCTGCAGCCCTCCTGGCAGGTCGGTGTTACACACAGGTTCATAACACTCACAAAGACAGAAAATACAGACGCTTACAGAGAGACGAGGACAGGAACAGTGACCTTATTATGGTAAAATAACAAACCACACCCCAGCTGCATCAGTATCCACGTCCCCTTTACGAAACCCACTCATTCTATTTCATGTTTGATAAGAAATGATTGGCTAAACATGATCACAGATTTGTGCGTTCCTGAGCCACACTTTTAGACCACTCCTAAAGGTAGGAAGACTTGTGCGGTCCCTGTTGGACAGAGGCATTCCACAAACCCACTCATCCATGTGGGACATTTGGTGAGAAGGTGGCCCTTCTGAATGCCTGTTCAGAAATGAGAGACCCCAAAGCCACGTCAGGCAAGGCTGCTGTACACTGATGCCAGGGGAGGATTAAGGTGTACAGGGCCCACAGGCGACACTTGGTCGGGACCAAAAATGCTTGGTCCAAGCGGAATATTCTCATCCATCTTGTTGGGTCCTATCTGCAGATATTGTTTGCAATTTAAGAAATTATATAAAGAATTAATTTTTTCCAGATATAGACGAGAGGATCACTGATTTGTATATGTACTGTAGTGATGATATATATTAACGTCGTTGTAACTAACTTTGATACTTTTGAGTTGTTGTATTGTGATATTTAAAATTTTAAGTATGAGTAAATTGATTAGGGATAAGTGAAATAAGCTACGCTTCTTCCTCCTAGATAAGTTATCTAAGTTGGAAATTATTATATGTATTGTTTTATTTGTTTGAAATAAATACATGTAAAAAATGTATTTTAATTAGGGCTGGCACACAACTAAAAATGCTAATCTAATTAATCATAGGGTATTTGTGAATTAACCATGACTCATTCACCATTAATCAAATATGACTGAAAACGTAGAATTTTTGGTGTAAAAGGACAAAACTGTATGTCGCCCCAGGAAACCACCTAGGTCTGATCTCAAGAACCACTTTGATTGTTCAAGTCACTTGCATATAGTTGTGCAAAAAAAATGACACCATGAACACCATGTTCAGACAGGTGTCCATATGTGCTCTTGGCACCAGGATACCTTAGGCCGCAGCTCGATGATCAACTTTGTTGTTGTTCCGTCTGACCTGCGGCCGATACATAAAATACATAAATATAATTTT